CGTGAAAGCCTTTGCAAATACATTTATACACTTTAGTTTATCTCTTATTATTATTTCTAAGTAAGTGGGCCCAAGAATTGTAACCTTTCCTCTCAGGAGGGTCAGAAGGCATTTTAGCCACCAATGTGTGCACATTCATTTTAGCGAGTAGTTCTCAAGGTTTGGCTCTCCAAATGGTTTATACTTCCACTTCCAGAATCCTTGAGCACTTGGACTTCTGGGAGTTGAAGTCTAAAAGATCTTTAGGGTCAAAGGTTGAGACTGAGGACAACTGATGTATCTCACTAGGGATGTCTTAGTTTTGGGGGGCAGAATTTATACAAAAGGCATAGTCAAATGGACTCTAACTTGATTCTGCTCAACGTCTCACCGGTGTTTCATCTGTATGCTAGCTCACAAGGAGGGATTAGTTTCAATTCCCTGTCAACACTCTTGTTTATGGTGACCCTCCTAATCACCTAGATCTTTTTTAAAGTCCCCTTTGAAAAAGGATCTAAGAAGCTAATTAAAATACTGTATACTGGCAAGAATCCTATTGTTTTATACCATGCAATTCCGCCAGGCAAATTCTTGTCAATTAGTTATGCTAGCAAGTCCCAAGACCTTTCTGTTGTGCAGATCTAGCAAAAAGGCTATTTGAGCCCAAGTCTGTGTAACAACCATGACTGGATGCAATTTTAAATTTGGCTAGTGAGGCAGGGGCTGCCCTAAAAAGTGCTAAAAATCAACATTATGATTTGCTACCACAAAAAAATGTGTGACAAAGTTCCCCAGGTATTTTATTTTTATTTTAAGTTGTTTAAATTTATTTGGTAGTTAAACAGCTTAGAGCATTTTTTAAAAATTGTAGTTCCGTGTCTTAATCACTTTAGTTGCATGAAGAAGTGTTCATTTGGTCTAAGAAGTTCCCAGTTTCCTTCAATGTAACAGGTAGTCAGAAAGCAAGAAAGAACTGCTTCAAGTGAATGCTTTCTTAACTAATGAGGGCAGTTAAAATACAAAAATACAATTTTACACAAACATGTAAGTTGAAATAAACGTGAACTAGATGCAAGGAAACACATGGGAAGTGGCAACATTGATTTTCAGGATTTTAAAAAAATTGGGGGGGGGCTGCAGCCATACGGAGGTTGCTGCCCACACAATACCTGCCCATCGTCTCTGCAGGAGAGGCCGTCCACCCCCAGTCCGTGGTCTGAGCCGGACCGGGCTGCGGAGAAAGACCTCCTGCCCCCCCACTCCCTTCCCCACAGTTGCTTTGCGTGCACACACACACATGCTAGCGCCAGCATGAGCACTCCCCCACCCCTTCACACATGCACCCTGTCAGCGTTTCTTAACGCAAATCGCGGTTTTAGCAGAGTGATTCACAGTCCAGGCAGTCCAGAAATAACTCACACACAGTCCAGCAGCATTTCCTTCAGCAACGTGTATTTACAGCAGTATTTACAGCAGTCTGGCAGCATAACATGTAGAAATGATCTTCAAGCAGGAAGAAGATACAACTGACTGTACAATTCACACATATATACATATACAGAACCAATCAGATCACACATTGCATCATCCATGAGTTGCATCAGCTCTGCTGAGTCATCCTGACTCAGTTTTAACACACCTGATCATTATGTATTCTCATTAATACACTCCATTCTGCTCAGGCCTGTAATTTTCCTTGACACACCCAAGTGCCTGTGCGAAGGGATGGGCAGGCACGCAGGTGGGCATGCAGGTGTTCCTGCTTATGAGCAAAGGGGTGAGGGAGCACTCAAGCTGGCACACGCACATGCACTTCCCCACCGCTTCGTGCATGCACCCGAGAGCGCGAGCACAGGGGGTTGGCCCACCTTATTAAGAGGCTCAGCCGGTCCATGGTCCCAAAAAGGTTGGGGACTAATGCTCTACAGCAATTTTTCCTGGGCAAGTACTACTTCCTTGAGTCATGTGCCAAGTAATGTATATAAAACTAATAAACACTGGGCTATATCCAGTGTGCCCTTCACAGATTACTGCCTTGTTGTGGCAAAAGGGCTTGAGTAATTCAGAGAAGTAATGGGCTATGCTGTGCAGGGACACCGTAAGACGGACAGGTCATAGTGGGGCGTTCTGACTAAACGCGATCCACCTGGAGCAGGAACTGGCAAGCCAATATCATTGCCAAGAAAACTCCATGGACAGAAACAAGAGGTTAAAAGATATGACGCTGGAAGATGAGCCCCTCAGGTCGGAAGGCATCCAACATGCTACTGAGGAAGAGGGGAGGACAAGGACAAGTAGCTCCAGAGCTAATGAAGTGATTGGGCCAAAGCCGAAAGGACGCTCAGCTACAGATGCGGAATTGTGGTGCTGGAGGAGACTCTTGAGATTCCCCTGGACTGGAAGGAGACCAAACCTATTAATTCTGAAGGAAATCAACCCTGAGTACTCAGTGGAAGGACAGAGCCTGAAGCTGAGGCTCCAATACTTTGGCCATCTCATGAGAAGACTCACTGGAAAAGACCCTGATGTTGGGAAAGTATGAAGGCAAGAGGAGAAGGGGACGACAGAGGACGAGATGGTTGGACAGTGTCATCGAAGCTACCAACATGAATGTGACCAAACTGCGGGAGGTAGTGGAAGACAGGAGGGTCTGGCGTGCTTTGGTCCATGGGATCATGAAGAGTCAGACACAACTTAGCGACTAAACAACATATCCAGTGTTCTGTTGGATGTTTTCACAGACTGTTCCCCCCCCCCAGCTCTTGGGCTACCCAAAATACAGTTCCACATACAGAAGTGCCTTGTGTGGAGGGGGACTCACCTTTGATTCCGCTAGAATCTGTCATTCTGCTGACAGAAATCCAGCACTGAATACTACCCACTGTGGATTATTTGGACTTGGTTTTGAAATGACACATGCACACATACAGAAACGCTTTCATAATTAAATTTTATTCCATGTTTAAGTTGCAGAGAATATATCCCATATTCTTATTTTTGTTTTTAAAAAAACACAGCACAGTTCATCTGTTGCCCAGTCTTCCATTAATAACATAACATCCCTTGCTCTAATTTGCATGCGTGAGTATACAGCCAAATGATTTTAAAGCTACTTTATCACCCTTACTAATCACTGAAAACTGCAGTTATGTTACAAGAAAGTGCATTCCTTTCTTATAATTATATACAATGAATTTTAAAAGCCTGATGTCACAGTGAGAGGAATGAATATAGATTTACACACTCAGAATAGAGGATTCCACCAAGGGAGTAAATTATCCAAGGTCTGCTTCCAATCTGAAATAATTCTAGAAGGAATCATGAGATTAAATCTTGATCAAACCTGAAAAATCCCTGCACTTACCTCATAAAAAACACCCTATTAATAACAACAAAAAACCCCAAACACCAGATGTTCTCTGTACCAGGATCTGAAGGAAATTGCTAAGCACAATGTTTTGTAAGATTCATAATTTAAGAGATCCCCACCTACAACATTTCAGATCACCTCCCTGCCTGTTGTTTGCAGATATCCCAGTTTGTGTTTCAGCACAATCCTAGGAAAAGAAATAGCTTCTAGTGTCTAATGACACATCTAGTGTGTCTCTTTAGCACATCAGGCAAAAACAAAAGAAAAATTAAAAATAAAGACCAAAATATTGTGGCACCTTAAAGACTTACTGCTATATTTTAATGAGAGCTTTCATGGACAAGTCCACTTCCTCAGACATAAGAAGTGAACTGTTTACAAAAGTTCACATTATAGCAGTAGGTCTATATGATGCCACAACATTTGGGTCTTCATTTTATTTTATTTTTATTTTGCCTGACATGCTAGTGCAGACTAACATGGCTCCCTCTGTATTCTCGAAGGCTTTCACAGCTGGGATCTGATGGTTGTTGTGGGTTTTTTGGGCTCTTTGGTCGTGTTCTGAAGGTTGTTCTTCCTGAGGTTTCGACAGTCGCTGCAGCTGGCATCTTCAGAGGACTGGAGTAGGAACTCTGTCCATGCTCTGTTGCTGTTTGTTGGACAGTTGAGTATAGCTGTGGGAACAGCTTTTGTCCTTTTCAGGAGATTGGCGAAACATCAGGAAGAACAACCTTCAGAACACGGCCAAAGAGCCCGAAAAACCCACAACAACCATGGCTACCTCTTTAGCGTAGCTTTTCTTCTTCTTCAGAATGCAGTCTTAATCCTGCATGATTTTCTATCTGGGGACATGCTCATCTGATACTCTCAAGAACCCAACTATTGACTATTGGCCAGTAACAAAAAGTTGAGTAAAAATATAAATTCTTTTAAATTGCCATTTTGCCAGTGTGAATGTAAATAATTTCATTAAGTGTCATAGGTAACAATTCAAAATCCAAATGTGTAAACATTAGTTTGTGCAATATGTCCTTTCTGTGGAAGCTTTGCCTCAGTCCTGCATTTCAGACACTCTATTCCTTTTTGCCAGTGACTGTTTTCACAATGATAACATAAAATAAATGCAGGAAATGGTATCTACATTTCCCTACAAGTTGCAAAGGCCAAGAACACTTCTATCTCTAGATGTACGTGTATGAAATGTGCAAACACACTTGTAAGATGGAGAATATCCCTAGTGTCAGTACTTTTGACCATATGTAACTCATTTGATTATTGGCAGGGTTTTAAAATTTGTTTTCAATTGAAAGAAAAAGGACAATTTATGGAACAACCCTCTGCTCAGGGTTTTAACACCTCAATGTATTATTTCCAAAATGTACTAGGCTGAATTCGTAAGGGGAAACAGCTCTTCAATTACGTGCCAGCATGACCTCACTCAGAAAAGGTTGTGAAATTAACCCAGTTACAAAACTATTTTCTGCAGCCCAGAATTCCCTCTCTATATACAATTAATCGTCTGGTTCTACAAACTGTTCTTCATATAGAAGATTGGACTGTCAGGTTTTTCGTATTGAGGCCGTCCATCATTATGGCTTTCTCTTTGATTCTATTATCAAATTCTCTTTTATCAAACAGAGTTCTATGACACTTTAAAGACTTACAAATTTATTGCAATTGTTGCTGGTAACACAAAAATCCAGGCAGTGGGTAAACTAATTTAACAGACACAATATAAGAATTTGGTATCCTAATTTATACCTCTCACTAGTTGGGAATTATGTGGAAATCAGGCTGGTAAATGAAATTATAAACCGAATATTATACTGGCAATATTAAATTTCTACATAGACAGCTATAACATAAATTCCTGCTAATACTATTTGAACACACTAAGTGAAGATGTAAAATAATTCATTCTCCCACCCATTGTACAAAATGGCACAAATGAACAACAGGGTGGCATACAACCTCTGTCTCGCTTGGATATGCTCTCCAAACAATCAGTAGAAGTCAAAGAGCCATGTGGTTGGGTGGCATACAACCTCTGTCTAGCTTGATATGCTCTCCAATCAGTAGAAGTCAAAGAGCCATGTGGTCTACAGCAACTTGTGTCACCCCAATGTACACCCTCTGAAAAGCTGTGGTTGAAGATTACAGACCCACTAGAAACAGGATCCTAGGCTGTACAAAGGGCTGTAGTCAGAAAGCAAAATCAGGAAATCAATGACTCATCATAAACAGAATCATTTTCTCCCTGCACACAAATTGTTTTGACTCAAGTCAACAAGTGTGTGCCATTCAAGGGTTGCTGGTCTACTGCTCCTGCAAAATACTGCACTTGTTTCCAGCTTTTAAAGTTCTGCTAAGTGAAAACCAAATGTTCTGAAGGGAGTTGATGTGTTAAAATGTAAAAGTCAGGTTCCAATATGGGATAGGCAAAAATAAATCCACTATTCTGAAACAAAACAACATGCATACAACACAAATTCTGTTCTCTACTTTAGTAGTTAAATGTAAATGAAATTTATATTTTATTGCATTACAGTCTGACAAAGGAGCACATTGTGTTCAAGACAAAAATTACTACAACAATGGCGTTTGTGCCACTCCTTGGTAGTTTTACTACTCCATGTTCTAAGAGAAAGTACCAGGTGGCGGTGGGCCGGTTTCTTGGAATCATCTTCAAAATTTCAAAAACATACTTCTCCACCAAAGGAAGAAAGGAAAGAGAAAAGAGCAGAAAAGACTCTTGCTATCTGCTGCCCACATAGAATGACATGCACACATTTGGTGTCTATAATCACCACCACATTACCATTTTATTCAACAAACTCTTGCGTTCTTCAGACATGTGTAACAGCTGCAGCTGATTTCCTGGGATAAGAGAGAGGCTAAATCCTAAAGGGAAGCCATACATAATATAAAAAACTGCAACCTCAACAAAGCAATGGCTTTAGCAGAGTTCAGGCTTTGTAGTCAGAGTCAGGATTATGGCACAGCCATGCAGGTGGATTCTCATTAAAATCGTTTTCTCTTGATAATTTCTGGTTTCCAGCTGACAGGATGAGTTTCTTCAGTCTTAAAAAAAATGTAAAGAAAACACAAAGACTGAAATTCTAACTTTATATAAACTATAATCACATATTTAAAAAGACAAGTCTCAGTAAATTTGATTATGAAATCTCACTAAATTAAACAAGTTTGGCTTTGGCTCACTGTAAATAATCAAAGGTATATGTCAAATACTTGTTTTAAAAGCTGAATATATTCAGAAAACACTCTTGAAAAACATGGAATTTAAACTGGAAAACATGCCCAACCTCACTCTGTTAGTTAAAGAAACAACCGATAGCAAATCTTCCAAAACAAAAAACAATACAGTGGTGCCTCGCATAACGGGCGCCCCGTTTAACGACGAATCCGCATAGCGATGATGTTTTTGCGATCGCATCACGATGCTTCCTATGGGGGAAACCGCTTTGCGATGATCAGTAAGCTGTTTCGCTTACCGATTTTCACATAGCGATGATTTTCCCCCAGCTGATCGGTGGTTCCAAAATGGCCGCCGGGTAAAACAGGGATGGATTCCTCGTTTACCGGGCAGCTAAAATGGCTGTCGCATGGAGGATTTTCGCTTAAAAGGTAAGCTTTAAGCCCATAGGAACGCACTGAAGGGGTTTCAATGCATTCCTATGGGCTTTTTTATTTTGCATAGCGACGAATCCGTATAGCGACAATTTTTGCTGGACGGATTACCATCACTATGCGGGGCACCACTGTACAACTGAACTGTAGGACCCATGGGGGAATCAGTTCTAAGCCCCCCCGCTCCTTGCAGATGCCAAAAAGGTGGAAGCATTGAACAATATACATTACACATTACTGGCTCCCTCTAGTGGACACGTCTCGTAAATACACCCTGGAAATACGCATACCATATTTTTCCATGTATAAGACACTAGCTTTTCCTAAAATCATTACACTAAAAATTAAGGGGCAACTTATACATGGAAGTAAGCTCAGGCGAGAACAAAACAGCCCATACCTTGCCTCTGTAAACAGGCTGTTTCCAATCACAAGGCTTAGCTTCCTACAGTCAGGAGACTTAGCCTTATGGAACTGATGTCAGCAGATAATGAACAAACCTCCTGGAACACATCTCATTGGAGGTGGAGACTGTATGCAGTGCTTAGAAGCATTCTGAGCCCAGAGGCCGAATATTCAATGCTCAGTTAAGATTTCTTAATTTTGGGTTAAAAAGTGTGGGATGGTGTCTTATACATGGAGGCGTGTTATACACAGAAAAATATGATAAATACAATTTCTGGGTTTTTTAGTTTATTTTCAGGCAGCGGATAAGTAAATTAGCAGATACTGGTCTCATAGGGGATACTACTGTAAAAACTACCTCAATGTTTATCACTTCTCTGCTACTTTCAGTGGAGCCAACATATGTTGAAGACATGGAAACAAGTAAAGATACAAATGGCATGCTTTACCAGATAAACTCTAGCTATTTATGAAGGGAGAATATTTACATTTTTAGAGACTTTGGCCAGACTTCTAATGCTTATGTACAATGGTGTTGAATGGAATTGCATAAATCACAGGGCAGAATTCCTGCTTTTTAAGGAATCACTGTTAGTATTTCTTTTTTACTTGCCATTCTTGTGACTGGGAATACAACAGGGAATATAAGTGGTGACTCCTTAACTAGGGGCAATCTGTGCCGGTGGTTTATGCCAGCATACATAAGCAATAAGATTCTGAATTGTATGTCACATTGAATTGGGTCAAAAAGTCCTCACCATCAGCCTACTTAGAAAAGAACTCATGTTGTCATTTGAAAGTTAATCTATAATAAAAGAGTGTATATACGCGCACGTGTGCCAATTGAGCTACAGACTATGGCTGAAATCGTGTTCATGTGTGCCAATTGGAGCTACAGACTATGGCTGAAATCGTGTTCGCAGAGTAAGCCCCATTCCTCTCTGGTAAACAATCTGCCATTGCCATGATTCTCAGGGGTGCACTCAGACACTGGCTAGATGCATGTATGCATGCAAACCTGAGAAATGCAGGAAGGGCACTTTCTTTGCCAGAGAGTAATGGATGAAAAGTTATGCTTGGGCTCATGCTATTTCCAGCTATGAAACCTAGCCATACGGAATGCACATTAAGAACATTCTTATCTCATGAGATGGGCTTGTAACTTGAAGCATGGCTGCTGGTCCTCTTTAGTGAAAACATAACTGTTCTAAGGTCTAAGAAGTTTTAAGGAGAATGCTTTCTGAACATCTGTCTTAAGACAACCCAGTTTTACACATAAGCACATGCAGTTAAAAAGAATACGCTTCCATACCGCAGTGTCATCTTCCCTGTAGACTTTTATAGTTTTATCAGCTTCAGCAGTTAGAAGTCTGCTTTCGGACTGATCGAATGCACATGCAAATATTCCAGATTCACTGTCCAAAGACCCAGGCTGTACAGCTGCATGCACCCTCTGGAAGTTGTAGCCGGTTCTCCAGTCCCAGAGGTGCATTGTACCATTGTCAGCTTAAAAAAAAAACCACACACCCTCATTAGTGCTATATACTAATTGAGAATTATAGCAGAGGACAACTACTGTGCTAAACTTAGTATGTCAAAGGAAGCAAAATTAAAACTAGTACATTCTTAATTAACAGCCTGACTGTATACTCCACATTAAAAATCTATTACTTAGCACCACACAGCACCAGTCTCTTCCCGCAGGACTAAAGTACCATCCTTTGCATGCAGACATGTACGTAAGCTTTACTAAATTCAGTGGAGCTTATTTCTGGCACATGTATATAACATGGCAGGATAATTATATGTTCAGTCAAATTTTGTATAGGTCTTCAAACAGTTCTTAAGCACACATACTTTCTTCATATACTGTATAATGTATAGCACAGACAGCACAATACAGTATTTTAAGAGGTATTTCTACTCTTTTCCTTTTCCTTACACAAGAATGGCCAGCATCCTGTTCAGTGTTTATGTACATGGAGCACCAGCTATGGAACCTCCAGCAGCAGGGGGACCAAGAGCCAGTCACATGCAGTCATGTGCCTGATCATGTGACCCAGTGAAACTGCCACAGCACTGTCCACAGCAGGTGCAGTTAAAAAGAATATGCTTCCATACCAAAGTGTCATCTTCCCCACAGGCTATAATCATTAAGCAAGATACTGGCCAATATCTCTAAAGGTGATTGTACTGGAAGCCTGCATGCCTTTTTGTTTTGCTTTGAAACTGGGTCCTTGTATTATCAAGTGTTTCAGCCTTCCTCAACGTGTTGGGGATACATGCTGGTTAGGGCCCATGGTTGGTGAAAGTAATTTTAAATACACTGCCTAGCACCTCCCTTTGTATCATTTTGACTACTTGGTGAATGCCTTTTAAAAATCTTCCCAGGCTTTTTATGTTTCTGTATTTTAAATCTGGTTTCTCTAGACTGTCCTTTTATCTTATTTTTGTATATTTTACTCACCTAACTGAAAGTATTCTTAACATGCTTGCTTTTTATAATCACCTTGAATGTATGAATGAAATATAGCATATACATATTTCAAATAAAACTAGTAAACATAATTTTTGAAATCTTATCTAATTGTGCCACGGTTTTGGCAGTAACTGGTTTTAAAACTACTTTAATTAATTTTATGTTGTAGATCCAAAACAACCCACAAAGTAACTGTAATGGTCTGTGTTAAACCAGCTTCCAATGAACAGCAGGTGGTGAAAATAAATTATTATACAACAAATGTTTACTGAAAGAAAAAAGCTTCATTAAAGTTTTGAGGGGGGAAGCCTGTAAAGTTCCATTAATATAGCTACTATCACCAAAAAAAACCCGGCTTCTTTTTCCCATCTTACTTCAGGTACAATTGCAACCTGAAGCAAGGACTTGGATTGTGCATTGGGACTGGGGATCACACTGTAGAAGCATTTCCATGAAGTTATTTGGTCAAGGCCATTGAAGCTGTAAAAGACTAACGCTGGCATTTGAAATGCTACCTGGAAACTGGCAGCCAACAGAATCCTTTCAATGCTAGTTATTTTCTGTTTATGAACTAATTCACAGCTGAGCAGGCCCATGAGTCTGATTCAAAGTTTCCAAATGATAAACAAGAGAGAGACCTATGTGGAGACAGCACATAAAGTGGAAGGAAGGATGTTCCTATTTAAACTTCTTATGAAATTTTTACTTACCTCCAGAAACTAGAACTCCGTCTGAATTCACAGCTAAAGTATTGATAATAGCATTATGACCAGAGAGATTTTGGATGAAGTTTCCATCAGGGAATTTCCACTGTTTAATGTTATCTGGAGACCCAGAAGCAAAGGTGTACCTGTAAATGAGATGTCTATTAAAATGTGAAGTATTGCACTTCATTTAAGGACTCCAAGTCTAATTAAAACTACTACACTTGATAATCAGCATAAAAGTACTACTTTTAATACAGCTACAACAGCACATAATGTCAAATATTTTAAGCACTGGATCCCTGCCTACTTAACCTATATGCACTACGATTAGATTTAATGAAGACTGAAATGTTAATAAGCATAACATCATTCATTCAAGTGTACAATGATTTACCAGTGTTGCCTTTCGGATGCCACTGTATCAAATAAACCAGACCTAGATGCCCCCTAACTTTCAAAAGTAGCTCAGGAGGGTGCAAAGTATTATAGATGAGGGCAGAAAAAACCTGATACACTAATAAACAACTCTCACAGCCCTTTTAATTCTGTCCATTTTTTATCATAACATATTTACTGACTAGCAGTAGTTTGCAGAAAGGTAAAAGACCTTATTATAATTATTGCTCTGCATATATTTCATTAATGTGGTGTTTCAAGCAATTCAGTTACCACCAACACTTCAAAACAGAGACACTAAACCAACACATATGAACAGCGTGTGCTTCACTACTAGGAGACTCATGTGTTTTCTACCCATGTTAGTCATTTGCACATAGAACTGACACAGGCACCACTAGGGGTCTTTCCACCTTACTATAAACAATTGAAGATCTGCATCAACATGGAATGTGCTCACAGCACAATCCTATTCATGTATGATTTAGATTAGGGCTAAACCCGGGTTCAAATCCCCATTCGGCTAGAAATCACCATGGATGACCTTGGAACTGCCAGTATTTCTCAGCCTAATCTATCTCCCAGGATTGTTGAGAAGGAAAAACAGGGGCAGGAGAGAACCATGTGCATCACTTTCAGTTGTTTGGAGAAAACAAGGGATACAAACATAAGAATAAATAAATGCAGACAATATAGAATTCAGTATTTAGAGCAGCCTTTACAGGACTGCCTTAATTTTGCCAAGCGATAGCAGTGAAAAACAATTGCACACATACCATTTTCTGTTTTCCCAGAGAGAGAGAGAGAGCCAACATGTTTAGGCCAGAGCCCTGTGGAATTACACAGAAAGGCATTCCAGCAAGCAGGGATAACTATCTTTTTGGAAACTCATTGTGCAGTTAGGCATGCCTTGGTTACAAAATTGATTGCATGACTGAATATGTGATGGACAGCTGGAAAACCTTGAAAATCTCTTGGACAAATGCCTTTCCATGTACAATAAAATGTCACAAGATTTTGGCCTTAGGATTCCAGCAGCTCTGAGGGGCCCAACATTTCATGTACATTAACTGTGGGACTACGTAAAGAGGATTACAGAGGTGTGAGCAAATGAAGCCTCCTTTCCCCTGAACAGGCAAACAAAGTAGCAGGGTTGAATTTGTTCACTGGTATCTGATATCTACTAAAAGATAAGTTACAGCCACCCATACTCTAATATGAGGGGGGGGGGTGAATGAAAAATCTTACTGTCTTGGGTGCAGTACAACAGCTCTTACTGATTTCTTGTGATTTGTTAAGGTGACCCGGGTTTTTCCTGCCACCAAGTCCCAAAGTCGTATAGTGGTATCATGACTTCCTGCAATTAAAAAAAAGAGGTTTTGGAAAGTTATATAACTAGAATACACACACTTCCGTTACACTTTGAAATCTCTGTTGCAGCAACATCATCTTTGAGACTCCTTCTGATAGCCTCCTCTGTTTCATGGTACTGGGACTTGCGAACATATAGCTTCCATATGTTAATCACAGAATACTGGAGTTGGAAGGGGTCTATAAGGCAATCAAGTCCAATCTCATGTTCAACACAGGAATCCAAATCAGTGTATCTGAGAGATGGTTGTCTAATTTTCTCTTGAAGGCCTCCAGTATTGGAGAGCTCATCACTTCCCAAGGTCATTGTCATTGCTCCACTGCCATACAACTACAATACTTAGGACATTTTTCCTGATATTCAACTGAAAACTGGCTTCCTTAACTTGAGACTATTATTGCATATCCTGCTCTCTGAGATGATTGAAAACAAATCCTATTCCTTCTCTGTATAGCTACCTTTCAAGTGTTCCAAGAATGCTATATCTCCTCAGTCTTTTCTTTTAATGAATGACCATTCACTAGCACAATCCAAAGTCTCCCATTTTGAGTCTCCTGTTTCATCTGTACCTGTGACAAAATGTACAAGAACTTCTTGGAAGCCAGCAATTGTTTTCTGTAGTTCTACCAAAATGCCTTTCAGGGCTTAGATCAAGTTGTCCTACATTATTCTCAATCTTCATGCCAACACCCAGTCAGTTATGTACAATGTTATTTAGTACCACAAATGCTCACTGGAGTACAATGTAAAAAAGAAAATGAAAAAAACCCAGCCCTGTTACAATGTATCAGCACTAGTTAAGTTGTTCCCATGATGTTCTACTTTGACAGACTGTAGTCATCATACCTGTGATAATTTGTGGTTCCGCTGCTTGACATTTAACTGTTGCCACGGCATTTGTGTGTCCAGTCAGAGTATGAACACTAGCTTTTGTCCTCACATCCCAAATCTAAGATCACAAACATATTTGAACAATTGTAATGTCATCCAGATCTAAGGTTGTTTTATAATCTAAAATGGCCTAAACAATTTAGCAAGGATTCACACCTTTTAAAATGTTTTCAACATCACTATATAATTCTGTCGTACAGAACCACTTCAGAGTTCTCTCAACCTAAAATATCAACTCTTCCTCTGCCTAACATCCCACATTTTATTGCTTTGGTATTACTGTTCCATTTTAGTAACAATGTGTGCATTAAACACCTTCCCAATCCACTTATGAAAATCAGTCAAATATTTAGGACACACTGCCAAATTAACTGAATGATTTATTTATTCCAGAGTGGGAAATACTGTACACATGTTCATACAAAGTGACTTCTTAATATTTTCCCAAGACATGTTACAGGCTAGCTATAAGCAACGTACTCTACATTTTCAGAGTAACAGGAAGCCGTTCTCTTAGACCCACTGTAGGCAAGTTGCCTTAAGTCCTCTATTTGTAGGAACTCTACTTAAGTATTGCCTTGCATACAGACATACAGTTTAAATCCATAGTGAACACTTCTGTTTTACTTACACGGGCTGTTGAATCTCTGCTACATGTTACAAGTACATCTATTGTTGGGTGCAAATCCAAGCCATACACAGCACTTAAGTGACCGTGGTAATGCCTAATAACCTGCATATAAACATACTGTGATTAAAAATAGTTCTTTCAAAAACCAATAACCTTCAATTTATTGAAAGATTTCAGCAGCCACCAATGTGCTTCACTTACCTTGTTATATTCCAAATCCCAACATTTCACTTGCTTGTCTTCTCCACAAGAGAAAAGGTATGGACTCCTTGCACTCACTATTACACCTCGAACTGTACTAATATGTCCTGTCAAAGATAGTTTTAATTTGCCGCTAGCAAGGTCCCAAATCTGTAATTAAAGAAGCATATGTATGATACTCTTCCAAATGCCAGTCACTGAAGTCCATCAATTTAACTGAAGCCAACAGCTCAGAGACATGTGGTATATACCCCTGTATGAAACAGAAATTCTCAAATCTTGGATATCATTCCTAACTGCACTTTTGACACAACATGACAACTTAGAGTGCTGGGGAACAAAAAGAAAGGAAAGGCCATAAAATATGCTGAGATTGATTGTCCAAGAAATATTTACCAGTATAGTGTTAACAATAAAGCCAATTCTTGAATATATCTTACCTTTATGGTTCTATCAGCAGAGCCAGTAACAAACCACTGATTTCCTGGTTCGACTGCAATGCATCTCACCCAGCCCAAATGTCCACTGATAACCTAAAAATGTTCCAAGACAGAGTCTTACATTTAAAAGGAATTATCATCTACAGCTTAAACTGTTGTACACAAAGCAAGTTCTTACCACGTATGTGACAACAGTTTTGCTTATGTATTTTAATTCAAAACGACACCAATCTGTGGATTAGATTTAGCTAATTGTTTATTAATTATCTTGACACAGCATATTCTAAATTTGAGGTTAAAAATTGTGTTTTGGCTATGTCATACAGGTGGTGAATGTTCAGCAAATTTCATGCAAAAAGGTTTGATCTTCTTTCATCTAAAAAAGCACCAAAACTATTGAAGCATGCATGCTGTTTCATACCAAGATGCTGTGTATAAACCAGCGCATCTATTCCCCTTCCTCCACACACATTACAAAGCTAATTCAACTTACAAAGAATAAAGCCCTCTTTCCCCCAAATTCACTACTCATTTTGATTATAAATACAGCACAAAAATTAGACAAAAACAAAAATCCTCATTCTGAAAAGAACCACCTCACTAGTTGTTTACTAGTCCCAGCAGGGAACTACTTTCCAGGAGACTACTCATTTGCTTTCTCTGTGCATGTGTTACTGCCACAAAAGTCAGAACTGACTTACAGTGACCCTAATAAGGCTTTCAAGGTAAAAGAGGTTTTTAAGGAGTGGTTTTACAAGTTTTTACAAGGGACGTGGTGGCGCTGCGGGCTAAACCGCAGAAGCCTGTGCTGCAGGGTCTGAAGGCCAAGCAGTCATGAGATCGAATCCACGCAACGGAGTGAGCGCCTGTTGCTTGTCCCAGCTCCCGCCAACCTAGCAGTTCGAAAGCATGCAAATGCAAGTAGATAAATAGGGACCACCTCGGTGGGAAGGTAACAGCGTTCCGTGTCTAAGTCGCACTGGCCATGTGACCACGGAAGATTGTCTTTGGACAAAACGCTGGCTCTATGGCTTGGAAACGGGGATGAGCACCGCCCCCTAGAGTCGAACACGACTGGACAAAAATTGTCAAGGGGAACCTTTACCTTTACCTTTACAAGTTCCACCCCTTCCCCCAGTTAGTTTCCATGACCAAGTTGGAATTCACACCCAGGTCTCCTGAATCCTGGTCTATCACTCTATCAACTACATCATGCTAGATATCCCATTTAGATGCTACCAAGTTAATTACAACTTATGGCAACTCTTTCCAGGATTTTCTAGGGATAGAGTATTGAGAAGGCATATACCATTCCTTTCTTCTGGGGCACTTTGGCACTGGGAGGCTTTATTGGGAACTGAACTTTTAACCTGACATGCTTCAGTTTTCCCAAGGTGGATACTGGAGTGCAAGCTTGGAAGGGAGATGCTTGACCCCAATGTTTGAACAAGCTCATGCCTGTAACCCTGAACTTACCAAGCTGAAGCAATGCTTAGCATAACATTTATCTTGAAATTGAATTTATTTACTACTTACTCTGTACAGCTTCCATGGGGGATGCCACTGTGGTTTTGGCATTGTTGCAGCCTTCTTTGCCATCAGTGCTGAATTTTTATTACCGCCTGCTTCCATCATAGCCTATAAATGGAGCAAGAACAATTACATACAAATGTTTTCTTATAATCCTAAAAGTTTCCACTCTCCTCACAGAGTTAGCCAATATTACAAAATCCTGCCTGGGACAAAGTCACTGCAGAATCCACTTATCCCATTGCATCTCCATTATATGAGACTTACCATGGTCAAACTAGGAGGCTGTGAACGCTCAGGAATTCCAGCGTGTCTGTATATATCACCTACACCAGCAGCAGTTCGATTTGCTTCCATTCTAGAAAGAGAAGTGGATGTCAGACATACTAAGATGAGACATACTAAAATCAATCACTATCTGGAGAATTAACAATCTACGTTTACAAAAGACTGTAGCCATACTCAGGTGTTCAGAACAAAGTGAAAACTGTGTAGGCAAAAAAGGGGAGTGTACTAGCTACAAAGGGTTTTGTCCCACTGTTTGGTCCACTCTGTGAACCAGCTGATTTGCTCCTTTTCACAGTGACTACATGAAGAAAGTGTTAGCATGAACCAGCCTACTCCCAGAATATTCCTACCTGCACCTTTCTGGCTTGTAGTCGGGAACTACACTTTCCAAGGTGTGCATCAGATGGCTCTATTTTGGTTTGATTTCACCATGTGTGATCACTGGGTTCAAACCAAAACAGATGACTTACTTTCAACTTCCTAATAGGCAGCTTAAGCCACTTAATACTTGGAAACCTAAAACTTCCTCTGTTCCTTTTAGATTTTTTTTTAACTGAAAAACTCCTCCCAGAACAAAGAGGAAGGGGAAAAAAGATCTATGCATCTCTTTCTTCCCCTCTCTTAAAGGCAGGTGGTGCAAATAGGGTCACCTGAGGTGTGATGTGGTTCCTTGACCCAAAACCACCCTATCCTTGCATGTGGATGCAACAATCACACTAGATGGCATATTACACCTCTCAGCAACCTTAAGGAGCCCTATTTAGTTCAATCCAGCCCACACCAATTTGGCCATCTAGCCAAGCCCTCAGTCTCCAAACGTGGAGTATGGTAGTCTAAATAGATAATGATATCCATGTGACCTAGAATCATGAAAAATCATAGCTCCATATAAAAATCTAAGATGACAACAACAACTGCTAGCTTCTCAAACTGGGTAGACTGCTTAAAAGAAGAACATGAAGTTGCAGGCAATAAGGGGATCAAATAACAGTGGAATCTCCCATTACTATCCAAAATTTACTAACTGCACTACCTTGGTTTCCAAATAAGAGTATGATACAATCTTTGTATGAGGAGTGGCTCAAAGTACCAGAAATACAGAGTTTTTAACTACACTTAATGTTTATAACCCACATGTCAAGTTTCACACATTTCCATATAATGTTTCAAACTGTCTTGTAGTTCAGTCAACTTTAATGTCTCCACTTGGGGCAGCGAGTGTCCTCTCCAGAGCACAAAGCCTGGGTAAAATAATATGGAAGATAGGCTTTACCCAAGTGGCAAATACCCCCTCTCTGTCGCTGAAATAGTCCAATAGAAAGGCAAGGGTCAATACGACTGGTTCCAGTGACGTTGCAGGAGTTGCCAGAATGACACAAACTGCCTCCGGGGCTCTGGCTCCGGCTTTTGCCTCGAGGCTGACTCCTTTTCCATCAGTGGATATGGCAGCGGAGGTTTGAAATCAGAGTTTTCCTTCTCCTAGATGGGCTGCCTTCCAAGGCTGATGAGTCCCACCTACCCGGCCTGTTTATTAATCACATGACATTTAAACCAGAATATTCTGGCTCACACCTCAAATCTTTAGTCTCTATGCAAGCCAGCTCTGTTCAAAAGATCCTGCCAGGATTTCAAAATTCATCTTCATTTTAGGATGATCAAAAAACCTATAGATATGCTGTTACTATTACTGACTTCCTACTGTTGCCTAATTCATTTTCCCTCCCAAAGAGGTGAGCAGTGGCATCATAACTATTCATCACAAAACATCTAATCATCTTATTTAGTCTTAACATCATCTAGAAGAATGGATGAGGCTACCAGAATCCAGATGGCACCAGTGAAGAACTGTGAGGAGTGAAATTAAGGCAGAACACACCTTTGCACTTTAACCAATACCCACTGGAATCTTATTGGCAATCTATATGAATGCAAGTGTAAATTGTAAATTGCAGCCACAATTGCAGCTGTGGACTAACCAGTTGTATTCTTCGTCTCATGCCAGTTGTATGATTTGGCACATGACTGTGAATGTGAATTTCAACTTGCCAATTAGCAGCAATTTACCTCCACGATGTACACAATTACACTTAAAGTAAAGGTTCCCCTTGACATTTAGTCCAGTTGTGTTGAACTCTAGAGCACGGTCCTCACCCCCTTCTTCAAGCCATAGAGCCAGCATTTGTCCATAGACAGTTTCCGTGGTCATGTGGCCAGCATGACTAGAAACGGAACGCTGTTACCTTCCTACCATGGTGGTACCTATTTAACTACTCGCATTTACATGCTTTCAAACTGCTAGGTTGGTAGAAGCTGGGACAAGCAACAGAAGCTCATTCTATCGAGTGGATTCGATCTTACAACTGCTGGTCTTCTGACCTTGCAGCACAGAGGTTTCAGCGGTTTAACCCGCAGTGCCACCACGTACATTAGTGTAAATTACCAATTGGCTTCTGGCCACAAATTTTTGTCTTCTAGATTAAACTTTATCAAAAAACAATCATTCTGTGTCTTTAACTGAGTTTGTACTTTAATAAAAGATCATTACTTAGATTGAGAAGGAGGTAGTGCCACAGCTAGTGACTGAGCTGCTGATTCACTGGGCATCCTCTGGATTTTAGTATCTGCAGTCAAGGCCACTCCTTTTGGAAAAGAAAACAAACCCAGTTAAGATAGCATGAAATGTATTGCAAAATGTAAACCAAGATTTGACCCAATGAGGTTAAACCCACACAGGAACTGAAGAAGTGTTTTATAGACAGATCTAAAGAACAAACTTGTGAAAGCCTAAGTACCGGGATCTGTTAGACCAGTGGTCCCCAACCTTGGGCGTTCAGATGTTCTTGGACTTCAACTCCCAGAAATCTTGGCCAGCAGAGGTGGTGGTGAAGGCTTCTGGGAGCTGTAATCCAAGAACATCTGGAGGCCCAAGGTTGGGGACCACTGTATTAGACAACTATAAGAACAGATACTTTTACAAAATATTTCATAAAACAAAAACAAAACAAAACAACGTTTCATAGTAAAAAAAATCAAACTGAGTTTGAAACGTGACACTTGAAACTTACAATTTATATTCAAAATGTTTAAATGTTTCCATAAAAGAAATATATCCTATTCAGTTGGCTCAATTTTGACTAATAGACAACACCCAAATCTTTTCTCTAATCATAAATAATTCTCATTTCAAATAAGTTGATTCTACTGTTTTAAGCTTTTTTCTTTAACAAAGCCCACACATGCCCGTGCAACATGGCATTCCATTTCAATTATACTTTAGAACTGATTATAAAAATGAAAATGTATCTATTGATAGATATTATTACTTGTACCAATCCCTTCACTATAGCCTAAGAAATGCTATCCCCAAAACATACTCACCAGGCCCAGGGGGATATGGATGTGTTCCTGTTATCAAATATTCATTATCTTCTCCTAGATAATATGATAATAGTTAATTGTTGCTTCATAGAACCTTACAATAGAAATAGATCTTGATTCCAAAGCACATTCTTCATTAAATTCCTGAATTATAATTTTCATTAGAATTCAGACATAATTTCTGCTGCTAAATTTGCATTGACAGTATATAAACTGCATATTTTTAAAAAGCTGGAGAAGCTCATACCTTAAAACAGTTTGCAATACATGCTGCTACAGAATGTGAAGTAACCAAAAGCAACAACAGGATTATATTTCTGTCAGGACCAACTATAAAGTTAAAGGGAGGAAACTTTCAAGTTTATGAACCTTATGTTTATAAGGTGAACTATTAGTCATGAACACCTTTAACCCACCTGAAAAAAGAGGTGGTGTAGGATGACCCAAAAATGATGGTGACAGGCATCAGATTAAGCCCCCAAGTACAAATTACAGTAGATAAAGACTGAACAGAGTAGGCACTGTGCAGACTCAAAACATGATCTTATACATGTATAGTGAGAGGACCATTGAGTCCTCTGGCACTTACTCCTATTAAACAGGGCACAGGATGGTGGTGTTAATTATATTTGGCCAATCACAGTTCAAAGGGCACTGACATTAGATCAAATAATATACAGGGTGAGACATGTTTGGTTGCTTTACCTCTGAAACCATAAAAACAGGTACTTTTTGGCTCTATCCAAATAAGCTTTGGTGAAAGTTAATTTTGCACCAAATGCATCATAACATAACAAATACAGGATAATGCCCTGTTTACTGCATTGGGTGGTTTGCAACGTGGTAGATTTCAAACCACCACTGATGATCAGCAAATTCAGCTTAATAATACCACAGATCACAACAACACAGCTGGTGCCATTCAAATACATACATTGGCTGAAATCTGGCTGGTGAAAATGTGTGTCATAAATGCTGATGTCGTCAGCAGGCAACACAACTCTAATTTAATTTAATACTTCCTATCCTCCCTTCGGGTTTCAACATTCCTCAGGGATCACTTTTGACCTTGGAGAACCTCTGGGAGACTTGGAATGCGGGGGTGGGAGAGTTAACAACGGAAAATTGTCACGACCAGTCCTAATTCCAATGGTGGGACTAGTGGCAGCATTTTTTGGAGATTAAAGGCTCCCTTCCCCCATCCCAAGGTTCCCAAATGCTTAGCTATTCATTTGTCAAGTGAAGACATTAAACCTGACTGAACTTACAGATCACAAGGGAAGAAGCTTTTAGTTAAATTAAATAACTTCACCTGCAAGTAAACTGGACAAGAGTAGGCCCACTGAATTAATGAAGATTTAGTGATCAACTCTTCTGTACGTTCCATTGATTGAAATGAGCACTTTCTAACTGCAACTTACTTTAGCATAATACACTGCATTTAGAGTAGGCCCATTTGAATCAATGGGAATTTACAGAAGCATTGACATTAATTCAGTGGGCCTACTGTCATGCAATTCACTAGGTTAAGAAACAAGATTTGGACCATGGAGTTAAATAAATAATTGATTTTTCGCTCCATAAGACGCACCTTTCCATAAGACGCACCAATTTTTTAGGAGAAGAAAACAGGACAGGAAAATATGTTTTCTTAGCTCCATAAGACGCACAGACTTTCCACACCCCTGTTTTGTGGGAAAAAAGTGAGTCTTATGGTGCAAAAAATACAGTAATTGAAACTGTGTTCAATACAGTGAATGCATACATGCATTTAAATATGACAGCAGTTTGCTTTGTATACATTCCATTTGCAAGGGACAAATCCCTCTAGTGGCACATGGGCAACAGGAAGGAAAAAAAGAGGATCGTTCAAAACCTGTCCACCACTTTCTCATATAAATCTAAATATATTTTGTTTCATCAAAACTTTCTATAGTTTAAATACATTATTAATGTAACTAATTTTGCAACCACAACAAAAACAGGCACACAGCCAGATGTCTGACAGAGCAGGAGGAACACTTATGCAATTTCCCTTTCATTTTGCATTTTGGCAACAGGATGCTAGCCTCTATGCCGCCAAATGATTATATCCATCTTCCCCTCTCTTCCTCTGTCTTCATTTATTTTCTGTTTTGACAATTAAACATTCAACGAAATAGAGAGACAGTACAGTGTTGGAAAGTGAATGTACAAAGAGTTAATGGATAAGATCAACAAAATATATTGCTACAAATCTGAAGTTAAATCAGGCAGAACATATGTCTGAAAAAAAAGATAACTTCAAAAGAACACTCACAGAAGAAAAGTTTAAACTTCCGATGATTTCCACACAAACTAAAAGATAATGGAAGATATGTGATCCTCAATATACTGACAGGTTTTCTTTAATATGTAAATATTTACTATCTCCACCCTGGGGGAATATACCAAGAATACCATAAATGCAATGATCCTGAAAACAATTGATGGAATGGTTGGACATTACTGCTGACTGAAACAAGATGTTCTTTCCTTTACCTTTGCCGTTACATACTTGTAACTGAAAGTGCTCTCTCCTTCTCTCTCTGCAAGTGAGTTTAGCCATCTATCAGTGCAACTCGACACATGCCTATTCAAAATATGACTTGCTGAACTCGATAAGGCTTCCTCCCAGGTAAAGAGGTATAGGACTATAATCGACAGCTGTCAAAATATTTAAAACTGTCAACATACCTGAATTTTGAAGATACTGCTTATGTCCATATGAGTCGATTACACCTTGGGAACCTTTCTCTCTTGCATTTTCTTTTGGTACTGGCATGTGCAGCACAGATGCATATTCTGTATGAAGTTTCACTGCCATTTTTACCTTGTGGCTGTATAAAGAAACACTATTACATCTTTGTTGATGGTGATTTATTATAACAAAGTCTGAATTTGGGCAAAATATTCATACAATCAGGAGTTCAACAAAAATGTCAAGCTACGCTAATGGGACACATTACACTCCTAAATGAATTCACCTTATTTTAGGAAATGGAAACAATATTTTATATCTTTATAGATTTGAGTTACACAGAAATTGTCTTTTAGTACCACAAATCTTTCTGAAAATTCAGTATGAACTAAGTAGAAATTTAGCAACATGCATTGACAAGAAATGTTCTTTTTAATTGCAGATGAATTCTGTATCAACACTGCACTGGCGAAAAGAATACAACATAATATTAACTTCTCAATACACTCTCTCATGTATTCCTAAACACAGGTAGACACAAACTTTTCATCTCAGAGGAACAGGAGTAATGCAGGTTCGAGTTTGGAAGCTGCACACACATGTATATACACACATAATCTTCTTAGCAGGGGTGATGCAGGGAGACTGAAGGCAATCATTGGGAGTTGCAGACTGTAGATAAACACAATCCAGTGTTGACAGAAATCAACTAGTTCCACAGTTATGTGGATCAATAGTAATACAGTTAAATGGGGTTCTTGTGCAATGATCTACATCAAGATTGCCGAAATCAACAGTATGTGGATCAATAGTAATAGAGTTAAATGGGATTCTTGTGCAATGATCTACATCAAGATTGCACAGAGGTTTGTTTCAAAAAATACCAGTGTCTGAAAAAATATGCTTAAACACACAAAAGCTTATGAAAAAATAAAAAACTTGTTGGTCTTATGTTAGTCTATTTCTGATATCAACAGGTACTAAAATGTTTTTACCTCTTCTCATCCAAAGGTATAGGTTTTGCATTGTCAGCAACAAACATGTCATGAGTCCTCTTCAAAGATCTGAATACAAGGGTATGCACAGAGTGCTTCTGCACTTCCTAAAAAAGGAGAGATGTTTCAAAAATATATCTAGAAATAGCAATTTTTGTTAAAGAAAGGATTCCACAAAGTTCGACTTGGCTTGCTAATAAATCATGATTTGCCATCAATATTGACCCCTATAATTAATTCATCAAGACTTTATACTGAGAATTCAGCAAAGAAAGGCCAGAGAATCCAGGGCTTTGTATCAGCTTCTCATTCCTATACAGTACAGTACCTGCTCCAAAACTCAGTGTAATTCGAGAATGTATTAGGAATTCTCATGGGAAATCCTCACATCTTGCTTAGTTTGGGAGCAAACTAAACAAACACAGTCTCTGGCTGCTCTTAAGAGCAACATGAGAGGAGATTTCCCCCTCTCTGTAATGGTGGGCATTGCCAAACATATTTCTTTGAAGGTTTTTTAACCTACTAAAAGAAAAACAGCTGAGAAATACCAACACATGTATTAAATTTTGCCACTGGGACACTTTTTCAGCCCCAGCCTATTTAATGTACTGAGTTTTTTTAAAAAGTCCCATATTGGTTTTTGGTGAACTATGATAAGCAAAAACAGGAAAACATACTTGTTGTCAGTAGGCTGATTAAATGGATTATCACTGGGGTGAGGACATACGGTATATTAACCATATGTTAAACTCTTCCCCTCAGCACAATCCTAATTACTACCCTAACACTATTGTGCTGATCCTCAATATATTGGAATTGTCTGAAAAGTTAGAAGTTGCCTCACAAGTCATTCAATTTGGCACATGATGATTTAGGAGAAGTTAGATAACAAATTATCATATACTGCATACATTAACTGTCAGATAGACCTCGATTTAGATTTCTTCACTGAGCAAGGAATTGGATGTGATGGCCTTACAGGTCCCTTGCAACTTCAATTATTCTATTTTATGATATTTCAGTTTGTCTTGTTAAAAATCTTTCACACTAATATTGCTTATGCATGTTTGGTTAGGTTTGCTTCGTTCTGTGTACAACTATAGCACTTCCCAACAATATCAACACCAAAAATAAAACAGCAGACCTTCAAAAACAAATGAGGAAAGGAAATAAACCATACTCTTCCCCTGTTCTAATATATATATATGTTTACTTTGTAATAGAATCTATTGGAGTTCTGCACTAAAAAGCCCAGCTCTACTTTCTAAATGAATGATTAAGTTAACTTTCTCCCCTTCTGGAAAGGGTCAGTGGTCTCTTCCTCCACTTTAAAGTGATCCAGGTACAAATCATAACATAAAAGCTTTTGTTGTCAGCATAGAAGGTCACCTTTCATGTGTAGTTAGAAGACAGGGCTTCTCTAAATTTATTGCCATTGTAAAAATGGGGGGGAAACAAACACAAAAAACAGGATATTGTTCACAGAGCATTAAATATGATGGGTTGCCCTTCTACTTGTGCAAAACCACAGAACTCTAGCTCATTTTTGGATATTTAAATTCATTATGACTTGCTGTTGAATTTAATCTAACAAATGTTGTTTCATACTAGTTGGAATCAGATGGACTTGGAATTATGGACACATAAATTCATAGAGAGTTATCCCAGGTAATCTATGTCTCTGATTATGCAATGAACCACACATCCAATCACACACTAACTATGCAACTGACCACACCAACTGCACCTATGGCACTGCTTTCTAGATAGGACCTGCACTTTGCTGCAAATTTCACAACTTATACAACTTCAAGTTATGCAGGTGTAGCTACACAACAAGATTTTGGCCACTGTCACATTCATCTATTCCTTAATACCACGTATCATGTTTTTTGGTGGCATTAGTCAGAATCCTATTGGGATTTTCATTGTCTAGTCGTTTAGTCGTGTCCGACTCTTCGTGACCCCATGGACCAGAGCACGCCAGGCCCTCCTATCTTCCCCTGCCTCCTGTAGTTGTGTCAATTTCATGTTGGTTGCTTCGCAGACCCCATCCAGCCATCTCATCCTCTGTCGTCCCCTCCTCCTCTTGCTGTCACACTTTCCTAACATCAAGGGCTTTTCCAAGGAGTCTTCTCTTCTCATGAGATGGCCAAAGTACTGGAGCCTCAGCTTCAGGATCTGTCCTCCCAGTGAGCGCTCTGGTTTGATTTCCTTTAGAATTGATAGGTTTGTTCTCCTTGCGGTCCGGGGACTCTCAAGAGCCTCCTCCAGCACCACAATTCAAAGGCATCAATTCTTCGGCGGTCTGCTTTCTTTATGGTCCAGCTCTCACTTCCATACATCACAACAGGAAAAGCCATAGCTTTGACTATTCGGACTTTTGTTGGCAATGTGATGTCTCTGCTTTTTAAGATGCTGTCAAGGTTTGTCACTGCTTTCCTCCCAAGAAGCAGGCATCTTTTAATTTCGTGGCTGCTGTCTCCATCTGCAGGGATCCTGGAGCCCAAGAAAATAAAATCTGTCACTGCCTCCATATCTTCCCCTTCAATTTCCCAGGAGGTGATGGGACCAGTGGCCATGATCTTAGGTTTTTTTATGTCGAGTTTCAGGCCGTTTTTTGCACTCTCCTCTTTCACCCTCATTACAAGGTTCTTTAATTCCTCCTCACTTTCTGCCATCAGAGTGGTATCATCTGCATATCGGAGATTGTTGATATTTCTTCCAGCAAACTTAATTTTGGCTTAGGAGTCCTCCAGTCCGGCCTTCCGCATGATGTATTCTGCATATAAGTTAAATAAGCCAGGGGACAATATACAGCCTTGTCGTACTCCTTTCCCAATTTTGAACCAATCAGTTGTTCCATTGGGATTTTACTCTGGGGTAAATCAGATTATGTAAACTGCATGTGTAAATTATGGCTAATTAACAAGATCATCTGGTTACCTACATGGCAATTAACTACCACTTCATTACTCAGCTTATATTTGCCATCATGACAGGGTATTTCACTGATTGTAGTACCAACTCACAATAGATTTTGGCTATTGCAATTTTCTACTTTCTTCATCTAATAAAAGATGTGCTTAGCACAGTAGAATTCATTTTCAAAAGAGAAGACCAAAGCATTGTATGCTTACGTGTGATAATACAATGTACATGCTTGTTCTAACCCACTTGTTTCTCAACAAATGCATATGCAGAAAGCCCATTACTGTTTGGAAATCTCCATGGGTGTGTGGAAGCACTTCAGTGCACATGCAGAACCACATTTACGTATTCAAAGACTGCTACAGAGTGTTGTAATGATGATAGTTAACTAGCAGCTCACTAAGTAGCAGTTTGTGGAAGAAGACAAGAAAAGGAGACCTATTCTTTTGGCTCTGTTGAAGCTGCCTTTGGCCTTTGTTCAACTGTCATATAAAGCAGGTGTTCTACCAGATTACTCAAACTATTTACATCCCAGCTGGTTACTGTAAGAACTGTAACTTTAGGAACTGATGCATGAACTAGCTTTAGCCTTCCTCCCCCTTCCATCTCTTTCCTCATGAGTCACATCTTTTAGACTGCACACCTGACAGCATGGACTGCCTTACTGCCAATATTTGTAAGCCACACTGGGAACAATTTTGGATAAAAAGCAGAACAACATGTGATTTTTTAAAAAAGTAATAAGAAATGAAACTTCCCAATATTCCATTGCACCATGTATAAAATTCTGGCCTTTAAAAAAAAAACTTTCACTGAAACCTAAGAATACAATTGGAATATTATCCACCAGATGCTGTTCCCCACTTGATGCATCTGTTTTCCAGACTATTTAGCTGATATCCTATCCTACACTCTGTTTGCACAAAAAAGTAATCTCTTTGCTGACCCAACATATTAATTATCTGTACTATTGTTCTGACATACAGAGAATTTGTGAGTATGGGAGTTGAGTGCCAGAAATTGCATACTCTTTGTTTTCAACTTTGAATATTGTATTTTGTTTGTAAGCCACCTTGGGATATTTTTCAAGGAGAAAGGTGGAGTAAAAATGTTTTGAATAAATAAATACATACATTTTTCTCTAGCATATTTTCCTCTTGGATAGTCAGAACATAATGCTGTTTACCCTACAAGGTTTTGTAGCAGCATTCAGCCAAGTGTCTGAAACAAATAATTGCTTATGCATTCCAGTTCTGGGACAAGGTACTTATTGCCAAAGTATCAATGCATTAAATTTTTTATATTATTATGTAAGTTATAATCTTCTGATCACATAACAAGAAAATAGTAACGAGGTACATATTGCCAAAGTATCAATGCACTAAATTTTTTATATTATATAAGTTACAATCTTCTGATCACATAACAAGAAAATAGTAGTAATTACCTATACAGTTACACTTCCAATAATTTTCTTATCTATAGTATACTAATAATATTTAAACATTTATATATGTTTTATTCCTAACCCTACAGTTATTCAAACTAACCAGCATTTCAGCCCATTTTCCATTTGATCTCCTGCACCAGAGGCCAACAAGGGATACCATACTTCCATACATTTATCTTGTTTTATTCAGTTTTTCCATCAGAGCCAGTCTCCATATTCTATTTTGAAATCTTTGCAAGGACAAGTCTTAAGCATTCTTCCACTGATGGCCAATTTCTTTACGGGCTCCTCTTAATAGAACTGCAATTACCGTATTTTTTGCTCCATAAGATGCACCTCTCCGTAAGACACACCTCATTTTTAGGGGAGGAAAACAGAAAAATATTCTGGCAAATTCATAAGGCAGTAGCAATAGACAGATGTTGTCACATCAATTATCTCAAACTACAACACAGCGTGAGCTTTTGAACAATTTGTAGTTGGCAAAGTTATTCCAATACCATAGACAACAGCACTACAATGCTTTATATCAATCACCAAGGACGAACAAAATCCATTTCTTTCTTGCTACTAACAATACAGTTTTGGGACTGCTGTATTCTCAAGCATGTCATTTCACAAGTCATACATGTACCAGAAGTGGAGAATCATTAAGCAGACTTCTACGCAGGATGACACACAATGAGTGGGAATTACCATCTCAAGTTTTCACACTTATAATGAATT